CCGCCCGAACTCTTTTCACGGTATTCATAGCTCATTATGACCTATATGATGCACATAGTTCCGACTCAAAAGCGATTGATCAGTTGGTGACCCTCCCTCGTAAGTGTATTTACCCACTTGTAACACAAATTCCAAAAGTTGAACATACACCAATCGTATACGGAGCAGATAAAGTGAAATTTAATCATTCCGTAGTTTTTGTAGACATTAATGAGTTATGAATATTCCGAAATAAGTTCGAGCTCTTTGCTTATTAATACAGAGATAATGTGTTTTTTTTAAGTCAATGCCGTAGGTCTATTTTACGGACATCAGTACAATTGATTTTCGAATCTCGGAAAATTGCAGAATTTCACACTGTTCCTATCGTAAGGCATGTTTTTAACATTAATCACACACACTGGCACATTCGATATTTTTATTTCAGAATACGAGCAAAGAACTTTTCCATACAACCTATTCTCCTTAAGATTTATGTCTGTGCAAAGTTTTCAGTCAAAATTCAATTTTTCTGAGATAAGCCGACGGTATTGATTTAAAAAATATATTATCAACGCACTAATAACCAAAGAGCTTGACTCAAAAGTAATTAATCAGTTGAAAGATTTCCTTCTTTAAATACAAAGTTTGTATTCATGATACTAGTAGAAGTTATATGAATAATCAGTATTGATTGTAGACATGTTCATCTAGCAGGTAGAATGTTGAAATTTCTTTCTATGAAATAGAACACTTTGGATTTTGTAATTGACAAAATCATTTAAAACTTTTAATTAGCGAAGTTTCTATTATAAAGATTTAGAAGAAAAAAAAAGTAGATGAACTGAGTCATTAATTCGAATACAGAGACTTTATCAAATTATTATAAATTGTGTAGACAAAGGATGAAATAAATATCTAAAACCCAAGATCGAAATTATGATAGAAAAAAACTGTTAGCGCAATCGTTGTGAGATTAAAATGTGAAATACAATGTAGCTAGTCGGACCTAATTGAAATCCGACAGATACTTTCACAGTCAAAATGCAGTTTTCAAACTTTTATTTTCTATGAACTGTATAGTTTGTTCCATAAATAGCAACGAAAAAGAAGAGATCATCTTAAATTTCCCAAAAAGAAAGCAAGTAATTCAGGATTCACTTCGTATTTTTCTACTTCTAAAAATTCGATTAGTTTCACTAGACATACGTTTGATTATTGTTGATGACATTGGAATAGAACGCGGTGTTGGTACTAAAAGTCATAATTATGGATCCATACATGTTTTTCTCGTTTGATAACTCATTTTTGTCTCCATGTATTCAATTATATCGATCGAACCAGTTTTCACTCTTGAATAGTAGTTTGAAAAAAGTTTAAATATTTTGAAACATGGAAATCGCATTAATTGCCTGGTCGGATTCGAGTATGATCTCATACTCGGACTCGAACTGACTCAATGAATTAGCACATCAGCATTCATGCTTCGGATCAGGTCGGATTACAAGATACTATTCTAAATAATCTTTATATGACATAATTCTATCAGTAGTCATTATAGACAGAAAAAATAAGTAAAGAAAATAAGAATATTATTACTTTTTCTGTTGTTTATATTGATACATTTAAATGAAATTCCTCAATCAAAAAGTTTGATAATACTTTAAAATTTTCTTTTTTTGTTCCTGAATTTAGATGGTCGTTTTAATCAAGGTTTAATTGATAATTGTCAACGAGATATTAATAAATATTGTCAATCAGAAGTAGTCAATAAGAATGATGATTATGATTCCAATGAAGATGATCCTGACAGCAATGGTAAATTAATTTTTTTCTAATTATTATTTTAATTGAATTAATCATTCTTTTAGATAATGATAATAGAAAAAAAACTAATGATGATGATGATAGAGTAACTGATCGTAAAATGGATGGTGGAATTATACAATGTTTACGTTCAAACTATACTAATACATCGATTACATTAGAATCTCAATGTGTATTAGAATTAATTGATGTTATACAAACATCAAAACTTGATATTAAACTTGATGTTAAATTATATCAAAATTGTCGAAAATTCCTTAAAATTGAATGTATTGGTATCGATCAAGAAGATTGTTTAAAATTACTTTATCAAAAAAATAAAATTGATGATGATACTTGTAAAGAACAAATTAAACGTATTATAAGAGAAGGACAAGTTGATATATATGCTGATCGTGCTTTAACATTTGCATGTCAAGCTGATCTTTTGAAATATTGTAATGATATTCCTATAGGTAAGAAAATAAAAATTAACATTAATAAAAAAAAAAATTAATGATTTATTAGGAAGTGGAAAACAATTACAATGTTTATTAAGTATGGGTAAATCAGTCACAAGTCAATGTCAAACTATATTACAAAAACGACAAGAATTATGGGAATCTGTAAGTTTTTCTTTAATATCCCATGAAAAAAAATATGGTATAAAAATGCGTTTCAACGCAAACTTTTAGAAAAAAACGCTATTTTTGCGTTTTAACGCATCGTTTTGTAAGTTCAACGCGTTTAAACGCATCGAGTTCTTTCTCCAGCGCATTTAAATGCATCCTTTTTATTTTGAACGCATTTTTCCAAATTAAAACGCAACTTAAAAACACAGTTTGAATGCGTTTCGTTTTATGCGTTTGGATGCGTTTATCTGCTTTGCATTCAAATGCGTTTTTTAACCTTCTTTGATCGAAAAACGAGTTTTTTTCGAAACGCGTTATTATATTGTTCTTTTTGATGCGTTTTTTCTAGAAAAAACGGATTTTTTCGAAACGCATTACAATGTTGTTCTTTTTAATGCGTTTTTTCTCCAAAAGATGGATAGTTTAGAAAAGCGTTTGAACGAATATTTGTATGTAAGTGTTTCCAGTAAAGATGTGCTTTTAGAGAATACAAATCTATTTTAGTTAGAGTAAATGTTAGGTGATATCAATGTGAACATTGAAAAGTTAAAAGGTACTACTCTTCGGAACAATTCTTTGTGATATAATAAGATAAAAAAATAGTCGAATAACATAGAAAACAAAGCATGTATTTAATAAAAAAAACTAACAACTGAAGATAAGTAGTAATATGTTCTCTAACTAGACTCAGTTAACGTTGGATACCGAATGAAAATAAATTGTTTCGAATTAATAGTAGCATACTTTTTCAATAACATCATCTACATTAGTATGAATATGGTGATTAAAATCAATTGTCCCAAATTCAACATTATCGCAAGAAATTTTTTATGTGTTAAAATTCAATAATATCTCATCTTTTTTGTTATTACGTAAATGATAAAGGCGACTATAAATCTCAGTGTGATTTTTGACTATAGAACGGGATATATGTAGGTTTGTGGAGAAAGACTTTCTCTATCTAGTGGTATATATATTATTAAATTGTGTTGCGTACCGTGGTAGAAACTTGAATAGAAAAAATCATGCATCTTACATCTTACATATTTTTAAGGAATACTCGTAAACCCCCTCCCATAATAGAAGCCCATCCCATATCAGAAGCCCCCCCGTATTAGAAGCCCCCTCTGGAGGATTCGATATGCCAGACATATTAGAAGCCCCCTTATTTTAAAAACTTTTTGAGAGTTTTTTGAAAACATTTTTTAGTATTTTCACAGCAAAACTTAAAAAATTACAAAATTTTAAGGTAAAAATGCGTTA